GTGCGTGCGTGCCCAAGATCCTGAGAGGAGAATGGAGGAGAAGGGATTGCGGCGTGGCCATCCCCCCTGGGGGGTGATTTCTCGCTTTCTGTCACTCTGTCTCGCTGTCTTTCTGGCGAGCACACACGCCCTATAGCCAAAACCTCTCCAAAATGATAATAATAATTCTTTGGCGTGGTGGTTAAGGTGCTGGACTCCCGCATGGCCAATCACGGTTCGAGTTCCACACCCAGCAGCTTGAAACTCATGCCAGGCGCATGTGTGTGCAGGCCCAAAATTCCCAGAGGAGAATGGAGAAGGGATTGTAGTGTGGCCATCCCCCCCCACCCCACCCCCAGGGGCAGGGGGTGATTTCTTCATTTCCGTCTCTCTGTCTCTGTCTCTCCAGACAAGTGCATATGCCCTATAGCAAAAATCTCTCAGAAACAGAAACGAACAAGGGATTGAACTCAGGAATGAATGAAGGAATGAGTGAAAGAAGGGGTGCGTGGGATGAGCATTAGCCTCGAGGGAGGGAAGGGGAAGAGGAAGGAAGAGGCGGAAGGCACCGCCCTCAGCCCCCCTGACCCAGGGCCAGCTGTGGGTGCCAGCGCTCGCCGCCTCCCTGAGGCTCTAGTCCAGCCGCAGCCGCTGCTCCCCGGTCTCCTTCCAGTGGCTCGGGTGGACCGAAGGGACCAGGCAGGGGCGACAGGGCTCCTGGGACCCAGCCGCCACGTCCCGGCTCTCGCCTGCTGCCCCCTGGCCAGGTTCCGGATGAAATGCCACCTGTGCATCAACTACATCGAGATGCAGACGGACCCCGCCAACTGCGACTACGTGATCGTGAGCGGCGCCCAGCGCAAGGAGGAGCGCTGGGACATGGAGGACAACGAGCAGGTGCTGACCACAGGTGAGCCGCGCCCGCCCAGCACCCCCGCCAGCCCCGTCCCCGTCCCCGCGCGGGGGTCCCCAGGCCCAACCCAGCTCCCGCCCTCGCAGAGCACGAGAAGAAGCAGAAGCTGGAGACGGACGCCATGTTCCGCCTGGAGCACGGCGAGGCCGACCGCGGCACCCTCAGGAAGGCGCTGCCCACCCTGAGCCACATCCAGGAGGCCCAGAGCGCCTGGAAGGACGACTTCGCCCTCAACAGCTTGCTGCGGAGAAAGTTCCGGGTGAGCCGGGCTCCACCGAGGTGGGGCCTGCAGGGGGCAGGGGCCCGGGGTGCACGGTGGGGGAGAGTCGAGAGCCGGGTCCAGCCCCCCCACGTCTCCCCCTCCGTGCCTCAGTTTCCCCGTCTGCCACATGGAATCCCACGCCGCCTTCTCCATTCAGATCGGTATGACAGAAATACCATAGAGTGGGTAATCCGTAAACGTGTAGAAGTTTCGGGGTGGACTGGTGGTTAATGTGCTGGACTCCCACATGGCCAACCACAGTTCGAGTCCTGGACCTGGTGGCTTGCTTTCTCACTTTCCCTTTCTCTCTCTCTCTCTCTCTCTCTCTGGTCAAATTAATAATAATAACAACAACAAAATCAAATAAACAATTCTTTAAAAAAAAAAGTTTTTTGAGCCAGCAGGTAGCATGGAGTAACCTGGAATCCAGATGACCGACTCCATGGATCGAATCTTGGGCCCGGTAGCTTGAAATCCCTGTGAGGTGGGTGCACATGTGTGTGCCTAAAGTCCCAGGAGGAGACTGGAGGAGATGAGATGATCTCTCACTTTCTCTCTCTCTGGCGAGCGCACATGCCCTATATCAAAAACTGAAAACAGGGCCAGAAGTGGCGTGGAGGCTAAGGCACTGGGTCCTGTATGGTTAGCTCCATAGTTCAAGTCCCAGATCCGGTGGCTGCAAAAACACACCAGGCTCATGCGTGTGCCTGTCCAAAATCCCAAGAGGAGAACGGAGGAAAAGAGATTTCTCATGTTCTGTCTCTCCAGCAAGCACACACCCTATGGCAAAAATCGACGAGAAATTGCTTTGAAAAAAGAAAAACAAGAAAAATAAATAAATAAAAATAAAAAGTTCTTAAAACACTAAAAAAGTAAAGCAGAAGGTTCTATTTTACTTTAAAAATTTTTTAAATTTTATTTATTCATTCATTTAATTTTACCAGAGAAAGACACACGGGTGGGGGGGGAGAAAGGGAAAGTGAGAAAGCAAGCCACCAGGTCTAGGACTCGAACCATGGTAGGTCACATAGGAGTGTCCAGCACCTTAACCACCACGCCACCTGTTGGTCCCAGGTTCCTATTTATCTATGAGTGCATGTGTGTACCTTGTGAAAAAGAGTTGTGAAGACCCCCTAGTGGGTCTGGTCACACTGGGATCCCCTCCAGGCCTCCAGCCCATGGGATCTTGGATACTCGCACAAGTACAAAAGAAACAAACACAGCCCCGGGGGCCCCTTTATAAGGGCACTAACCCTGTTCCCCAAAGGTCCCACCTTTTAATACAGTCACATAGGGAATTAAGGTTTCTTTCTTTTTAAAGTTTGCTGTAGGGCACGTACTCTCACCAGAAAAAAGACAGAGAGAGAGAGGAAAAGAGAGGAATCAACCCCCCAGGGGGATGTTCATATCACAGTCCTTTCTCCTCCATTCTCCTCTTGGGATTTGAGCACGTACATACACGCACCTGGCATGTTTTTCAAGCTGCCAGGTCCAGGACTTGAAGGGCATGTTTTTCAACCTGCCAGGTCCAGGACTTGAACCACACAGTTACACATGTGGGATGCAGCCGCCTTAAGCACCACCCCACCTGCTGGTCCTCGGTGTGTTTTTCAAGCTGCCAGGGCCAGGACTCGAACCACAGTCAGCCATGTGGGATCCAGCTCTCTTAACCACAAGGCCTTGATTCAGTTTGAACCTACAAATTTGGGGGGGCTTGTATCTGAATGATAGCACCCCCACCCCAACCTACAGGAGAAGAAAAAAGCCATTCAGGAGGAGGAGGAAAGGGACCAGGCCCTGCAAGCCAAGGCGAGCCTCAGCATCCCGCTGGTGCCGGAGACGGAAGATGACCGCCGGCTGGCCGCCCTGCTCAAGTTCCACACCCTGGACTGTGCGTGGGGGCCTGGGGCTTGGGGAGTGGGCGTGGGGGTGGGCGTGGCTCATGGGAGGTCCCCGCCCTGAGTGGACCGTGACCAGCTGGGGCGGAGGGCGGCCCTGATCTCCGGTCCCGTGTCCTCTCCCCCCTCAGCCTACGAAGACAAGCAGAAACTGAAGCGGACGGAGATCATCAGCCGCTCCTGGTTCCCCGCCGCCCCGGGAGCCTGCACCCACAGCAAAGCCAGCAGCGTCCTGAGAAAACTGTCCCAGCAGAGCCGCAGGGCCCTGCCCACCAGCTCCCCCATCTCGGTCGGGGACCTGGGCATTGTCCGGCGGAACCAGACTCGGGAGGCCCCCGAGAGCCCCCAGGACGCCACAGAGACCCCCAAGGCTGGGGAGCTGCGGGCACCATAGAGGACTACTCCGGACAGGCCCGCATCCCCCCAAGACTGCCCTCAGGGGATGGCGGAGACCAGCAGCCCACAGGGACCACAGAGGAGCGGGCAGGACAAGCCCCTGTCCCCGCCAGGCACTTCCCAAGAGGCGGCCAACCCCCCTGACACACCACACCCCTGCAGCCTCAGCTCCTCCCTCGTGGCTGACTACTCCGGCTCTGAGAGCGAGTGAGCGAGCGGCTTCGAGACCCCACACGCCTGCCGACCTTGGAGAGTTCAGATGCCACCCCTGCCCCACACCTGGCTTCCTGCAACCACAAAGTTATTTATTGGGTCCCGGTGGGGTTTGTGCACCCGCGCATTAAAGCCTTGTCTCTCCTCCAGCCTTGGGTTGCTTACACAGGCCCAGGTTGGCCTGGGATCCAGGCAGACTTCCTGGAGGAGGCATGGGCCAAGTGGAAAAGGGATTTAGGCAACAGGAAACACACAGCAAAGATCAGGAATGGGGCACGTGAGGTGCCCAGGACCCATGGAAGACATCCCCAGAGCTGCCCCACACGGGTTCAGGTTGCCTGTTATCCCCGGCCACCAAGGTGCCTTGGAAAGGGCCCAGAAAATGGCGGCGCACCCACCCCTCACCTCCCCCTCAACCTTGGACAAGGGCAATCACTGAACACCTCCACTGAGTATTTCATGGGTGCCAGGCGCTGACTTAGAACAGAAATACCCACCCGGGAGACTGAGGCCCCCATCAAATCTGGCCCTTAACACCCATCTTTTTTATTTTTTTTAATTATTGTATTCACTTATTTATTTATTATTATTTTTTCACATGGGTTTTTGCCAGAGAAAAGGAGAGAAAGCAAGCTGCCAGGTTCAGGACCTGAACCGTGGTCAGCCTTGTGGAAATTCCAGTGCCTTAACCACCACGCCACCTGCTGGCCCAATACCCATCTTTCTAAGGGTGGTGTCCCCAAGTGGTACCCGCTTTATTTCCCACAGAGATGGGACATCTCAGTAACAATAAGGAGCCCTTCAGGGGACCAGCTGGCGTCATGGTTAGGTCACCAGCGCAGTCTGAGCCCCAGACCCAGCAGTTTGAAAAACGCCTGGTGGGACCTGCTGGTCTTCCACGTAGTAGACCAGTTAAAAGTCTTAAAGCTCATGCCGGGTGCATGCGCGTGCGTGCCCAAGATCGGTGGGACCAGCAGGGGGTGTAATGGGTCAGCGGCTGGACTTCCACGTAGTAGACCAGTTAAAAGTCTTAAAGCTCATGCCGGGTGCATGCGCGTGCGTGCCCAAGATCCAGCCCGGAGAATGAAGAAGGGATTGCGGTGTGGTCATCCCCTCCCAGGGGGGTGATTTCTCACTTTCTGTCTCTCCCCAAGTGCATGCACCCTATGACAAAAATCTCTTCAAAAAATGAAACCGCCTGGTGCATGTGAGTGTGCAACCCAGACCCTGAGACTGGAGCTGAGGGGCGATGTGACATGGCCATCCCCCGGGGGTGCTTTCTCTCTGTCTCTGTCTCTGTTGAGCACACGTGCCCTATAGCAAGTTAAAACAGAAAACAGGGCCGGTGGTTTCTTCTGTGCTCTAGAAGTTGGGCCTTAAAGTACCCAAGAAAGAGCCTTTGAACACTGCTAAACCCCGGGCTGGCACCCAGTAGGCGGCCCCGAACCGGTGCCCTGTGGTTCCGAAGCCCCGGAGTGCGCCGTCCCGCTCCCCTCCACGGCGGGTCCGGAGGCGGGGTCAGCGGGTCCTGGAAGGGACCGGGTTGGTGCACGCGCCTACTTCCGGAGGAGGCTCCGCCCAGTGTTAGGGCCACGCCCCCTTCGTGCGGTCGGGTCCCGCCCCACGTGTGCGCCGTCCGGGGTGTGCCAGAGCGGTGGTGGAGCGCGGGTCGCACCATGTCCCTCGAAGCCATCCGCTACTCGCGGGGCTCGCTGCAGATCCTCGACCAGCCGCCGCCCGGGCGGCGGGCCCGGGCGTGCAGGGGCGCCCGCACCTGCAGCCCCCGACTCCCGCGTCCCTCCCCTGCAGGTGCGCGGCGCCCCCGCCATCGCCCTGGTGGGCTGCCTCAGCCTCGCCCTGGAGCTGCAGGCGGGCCGGGGGGGACCCGGGCTCGCCGCGCTCGTGGCCTTCGTGCGCGACCAGCTGGACTTCCTCGTCACCGCCCGGCCCACCGCGGTCAACATGGCCCGCGCCGCCCGCGACCTGGCAGACGCGGCGGCCCGGGAGGCCGAGAGGGACGGCGCCACCGAGGACACGGTCCGGGAGAGGTACGGGGCTGCGGTGCCAGGCTGCTGTGGACTCGCTCGCTTTTTACGCACAGTGACCCAGTTTACAGATGGGGAAACAGGCACGGGAGCTCAAGTCCCTTATCCTGTACTTCGTCCCGGGCGGCGCTGGGAATCGATCCAGCCTGGGGAGCTGACCATGGATGGGGTCCTTACCCTTTAAACGCTCTAAGCCCAGGGCAGGCCCCGTCTCTATCTGCCCTTGCAGAGCTGTTTAAAAACATGGAGAGTGGCAGGTGATGTGGTGGTTAAGAGTGCTGGACTCCTACATAGACGGTGGTTCGAGTCCCTGACCCAGTGGCTTGCTTTCTCTTCTTCTCTGTCTCTCTTTCTCTCTCCCCCTCCCTCCCTCTCTGGTCAAATTAAAATAAATTAATAAAGTTGAATAAAATATATGTAAAAATAAGTAAAATTCTCTGTATGGCTGGCGAGCTAGCCAGAGAGAAGCAGAGAGAGAGAGACAGAGAAAGAGACAGCATTTCTCAGCGGGATGGCCACGCTGTATTCTCTTCTCCTTGATTCTCCTCTTGGGATTTAGGACATGCACACACGCTGCTCCCTGCATCTTCTTCTTTTTCTTTTTTTAAATTGTTTATTTCTGGACCAGCAGATGGCGTCATGGCTATGTCGCTGGACTCCCATGTAGTTGACCGTGGTTTGAGTCCCAGACCCGGTGGCTTAAACTCACGCCAGGCGCGTGTGCGTGCGTGCCCAAGATCCCAAGTGGAGAATGGAGGAGAAGGGATTGCGGCGTGGCCATCCCCCCCGGGGGGGGGTGATTTCTCGCTTTCTGTCTCTCTGTCTCTCTGTCTCTTTCTGGCAGGTGCACGCGCCCTATAGCAAAAAACCTCTACAAAAAGAAAAAGAAAAACATTCCTGGCGTGTATGTGTGTGCCCAGGATCCTGGGAGGAAAATGGAAGAGATGGAATTCCAGTATGGCCATCCCTCCATAGGTGATTTCTCATTTTCCATCTGCCTGTCTGCCTGTCTCTGGTGAGCATATACGAACTATAGCAAAAACTTTTTTGAGAGTTTTTTTGCTATAGGGCGCATGTGCTCACCAGAGAGACAGAGAGACAGAAAGCGAGAAATCACCCCCCAGGGGGGATGGCCACGCCGCAATCCCTTCTCCTCCATTCTCCTCTCGGGATCTTGGGCACGCACACACACGCGCCTGGCATGAGTTTAACCCACCGGGTCCAGGACTCGAACCACAGTCGACTACATAGGAGTCCAGCAACATAGCTGTTACACCATCTGCTGGTCCCCCAAACATTTTTTTAAATACTACAATTTTTAAAAATTATTTTATTCAACTTTGTTTATTTTAATTTGACCAGAGAGTGACAGAAAGAGAGGGACAGAGAGAAAATGAGGAAGCAAGCTGCCACATCCCATAAATGCTATAATTTGAAAGGCTGAGGCCGGCAGGTACCATGGTGGTTAGAGCTGTCCACGCCCACATTGCTGACCACGGTTCGAGTCCCAGACCTGGCAGCTTGCCTCTCACTTTTCCTCTCTCTCCTTCGTGTGCCCACATGCCAGGTAGCAAGTTATTTTTTAAATAATGGTACTATGAATAATATATTTAAATACATACTGCTTTAAAAAAATGCTAAAAGGCTTTTGTCCATCCCAGAGTGATCCAATGGGCTGAGGACATGCTGGAGAAGGACCTCCGAGACAATCAGAGCATCGGGGACCTGGGAGCCCACCACCTCCTGCAGCGGGTGGCCCCCCAGGGTGGCAAGGTGACCGTGCTGACTCACTGCAACACCGGCGCTCTGGCCACTGCTGGCTACGGTACAGCCCTCGGTGAGTACACATCTTTGGCGAGAAGGGAGGGCCTCCCACATGACTAACCACAGTTCAAGTCCCAGACCGGGTGGCTTGCTTTCTCACTTTCCCTCTCTCGCTCTGTCCCTCTCTAGTCAAATTAAAATAACAAAATAAAGTTCAAAATAATTCTTTAAAAAGAAAAAGAAATCCAAACCCAAACCACTTTCCCCACAAAAAATGTAAATGTATTAGTTCTCATACAGAAACCCTTAGTGGGGCTAGCTTCAGGTAGGGCTCGATCCAGGGGCTCAACCAGTGGCACTAGGACCCAGCTATTCCTTCCGCTCTGTCCTCCTTCATCCTCAGGCTTCTTAGGTGGTCAGGATTCATATCATGAGGAGTAGAACTGAGGGTGCTAGAAAAACCTTCCTGGGACCAGCAGGTGGCATGGTGGTTAAGGCGCTGGACATTCCCACATGGCTGGACCGTGGTTCAAGTCCTGGACCTGGTGGCTTGCTTTCTCACTTTCTCTCTCTGTCTCTGTGTTTCTCTCTGGTCAAAATAAAATAAGTAAATGAATAAATAAACAAATAAATAAATGAAAAATCTTCCTGCTTGGCCAGGTCCGTGAACCATCAGAGGTTAATTGCTCAGTGCGTCCAGCTTATTTTGTTTGTTCTGAGATTTTTGCTATAGGGTGGATGCACTCGCCAGAGAGAGACAGAAAGCAAGAAATCACCCCCTAGGAGGAATGGCCATGCCATGGTCCCTTCTTCATTTTCCTCCTGGGATCTTGAGCACACATGCACATGCACCCGGCGTGAGTTTTAAGCCACCGCGTCCAGGATTCGAACCATAGTTGACTACACGGGAGTCCAGTGATGTAACCATTACGCCATCTGCTGGTCCCGAGATTCTGTTGATTTCTAACACTGCTGTGTTAGAAATTAAAGTGATAGACGCCCAAGACCAAGAGTAGGGAAGGGGGATCAGAGGTGTGGGGATGGCC